GGATTGAATGCAAAGCTTGATCAACAACCAGTCACATTAACTGGTCGCGAAGGTACTCAACTGACCCGGATAGATGGAACTTGGATCCGGTCTCAGTCGTCTATGAACTTGGAAGAATTCAAGCAACACGGGCAGCAGCAACTGCAGAGAACAATAATTATCATTCTAGGCGGCGTTTCAACGGTGCTATTGTTCACGGTCGTATCTGCCGGGATCTACATCGTCCTGACTCGTCGATCACTGGTCAGGCCGAATGTGTCGTGAACACAGATCCTGAACGAACCGAACCATAAAACAAACACGGAAACTGATTGTCCCTAATCATCGATTTGCGCTGCGTTTATTCGATTCTCTAACAAGCATAAACATTCCAGTGTCAATGAAAATTTATTTCAAACGTTTCAGCAGTCCAACAGAACACATTGGGAACAATAACCGTGTGGCGAACAAGCTCGGTTTTAGTTATTCGTAATCTTACCGTTACATAACATTAAACAGGACCAACAACAAGAACAACTGGGNCCGAGTCCTAATGATTCAGCTGTGGCTCCAATCATGCATGCGTGTGTTTGTATGAAATTGATCACAGTGTCAAAGGTTCAAGTGATTGCACACGTCTTGGAGTGACTGAAGTGGGCCACGGGAGATTAAATGCTTGCACAAATTTCTTCTGGGCGCACAAATGGGGGGAGGAGGTTGTGAATCCGAATACTTACGGCTTCGGTCGTGGCTAGGATACGATGCTTCACTGCTCCTGATTGCCTGCATCAAACCTTGTAAATCGGTCGGAACGCGCCTGCCACATCCACCGAGTGCTTTGACTCGACGAGATGCGAACAAACCACGCTGATTTCAATTGTTCCTGTCCTCAGCGAAGCCGGGTGTTGTCTTACGAACGCGATCGGATAAGCGCCAATTTACCTAGCGGCCAATTTACCTAGTTCCACAGGAAAAGGCGAGTATACACAGAATGAGGTGCAGAACACAAAGCTTTTATTTGTGCAGCGTAAAATGTTCTGCTTACTGCACTTGCGAGCTTTCTTTTAAAGAATTCCACTTCTGTATCTCCGTTAAACAGCAAATGCCCATAGACAGACTTCTTGTTGTTAGTTAGACTTGATGTTATTGTAGTATTCGAACTAGGAATCGAAATCGAATAACGCGAACTAGGAACTACTGAGTAGCGCAAAGTCAGTGTGGTGATTCAGACCTATGTGACGACGCCTAAAATGGAGCGGCGCGTTACAATTTCCGGACACCTGCGATCAATCGAAGTTGAAAGATGACGTCAATGAAGAGCATACGGGTCACGGCTTCTCACTACACACCATTGGTGGATCGTGCTAGCCAATCCGAGACAGTGCAGACAAAATCAGAATTATTCAAGCAATACTGCAATATGATTGGTAGTAGCCTAGATAACCAGTGATCTTCTTTTGTGCATATTATTTAACCACCTTCATTTCTTCCAATAAACGAACTTGTGGTATTTTCCTCGAGTCCCGTTCATGTGGAATATTACAAGCTCGTGCCATTGCGGTTCAGTGCTTCTGTGATCCAGTCCGTGATAGCTGAACCTAGATTCGTGTCCCATGATTCCTATTGCGTGTTTCGTGTTCCGAATGCCGTGCGTACTACTACTACTACTACTACTACTACTACTACTATTACAATCATTACAAGAACATCCTCTATGACAAAGTCGGAAAGGAATGGGAATAAAGGTCAGCCTAGTAGAACTCCACTGGAGACGGCGAAGGGTGGAGAACGTTGATCTTAGGCCCTAACTCGACCTGAGTTATGACGATACAACTCTTTGAGGGTCGACACATACTTCTCAGGTACTCCATTCCTTAACAAACACCTCCTTAGTGTGGTCCTATCGACAGAGTCGAAGGCCGCACGGATGTCTAAGAACACAATGGTCGTCGGTCTTTTATTAGGATGAAGGTGCTCTAGCAGCTGTCGGAGGGTGAAGATTTAATGGATGCATCCACAACCGGCACGTAAACTACTTTATTTTCTCGTGGATCTACTCCTCACGCGTAGTGTACAATCGGCGGAGAATGATGAACGCCACCAACTTTGACGCTAATGGGATAAGGCTCAGTCATTGCGTGGGCCATTTGAAGATGGGGACAACAATCGATTCCCCCCACAAGGAGGGGGCTTGCTCAGTGCTC